CGGCGGCGGCTTTCGGCCGAAGCGGGCCGCCGCCGGAGCTTCCGGACCGTCGCCGCCGATGCGCCCGCCGCCCCGGATGCAATTCGAGGGGTTGACGGATGCGCAGCGCAAGGAAATGGCCTCGAGACGCAAGACGGCGCTGGTTCTTCTGGAGCGCGACGCTCACCTGACGAACGACGACAACCGCCCGCATAGTTTCCGCGGCCGCAGGACGAAGGAGTAGGCGAGTGGCTGACTTGAAACAAAACAAAACAAATCCTCCCATTTTGGAGACGCCGGTGCCTGCAATGGTCGTCGTATCAATTCGTCACGTTTGATTGTAACCGCCCGCTTTCTTGAGCGGTGGGCGGGGCCCCCGAGTCACGGTCTCGGCCGGCGACGCCCATCTGTATCGAGAGCCCCATCGTACGTCGACCTCGCCGCCACGTTGGATTTGGACAAGAAAGCCGTCAAAGAAGAGCAGAATCGCAATCGTGCCGAGTTGAGAACTTTGCACCTTCGCGCGGGAAGCGTTTTCCACTCACGACCGACCGCGGACTTTGATTGACGACAACGCCTCTCATCTCATGCGGGATCACATTTATCCGACATTCAGAGGCGCTCGACGTGCAGATCTTTTCATTTTGAGCGCACGACCTGCTGGTTTTGCGACAAAATAGGAATGTCAAATTTCCCCGTGAGTGCCGTGATTCCCGCTCGCGTTGCTCCCACTCACCGAATATCCAAGACAAACGCCGGAATCGGTCAACGGGAGTTGCGCTTATTCAGAAAACCTTGGTGTCACGGGTTCCAATTGCTCCAGCAAGTCGCTGCAACGTATGGTTCCAGTACCAGCGGCGTGCCAAGCGGTCGCCCTAAACGCCGACTTCAAGGTTTAGCGCCGACGTGGATCTTGACACCAGAAACATTTGGAACCGTCGGATGACAACATCTCGGTTGTTTTTGCTTTCCCGAACGTTGCGGTTTTCCGAAGTTCCGTTCGCCGACTTGGGTACGGAGCGGATACGCCACATCCAACATGGCGGCCGCAGCGACGCGTTGCAGCAACGTGAGGCGACCGCCGACGCGCGTCGACGAGCCGAACCGCGTCGGTGATCCGAAGCGCTCGCGCCCGCGCCGCTGCCCGTTGGAAGAAAGCCGTCCGTCCCGGCTCCGGCCACGTTTGCCACGTTGGCCGGGCGAATCCCGGCCGTCCCCGCTGTCCTTCAGGCCGTTTGAATGCGAGGTTGCGAACGGACGCGTTTGCGTTTGGTGGAGCGCGCTCGTCCCTCGCCGCCTCCCGCTGCAGCCCAAAACACGAGATCGGCGACGAGTTGGCGTCACGCGGCGAACGCCGTCGCGGGGGTCTCCGATCCGGCCGTCCGCTCGTCCGTCCGAGCCCCGCCGGTCACCGGCCGCACGCGGACAAACGAGCCTTCCTCGGCGAAGTCTCGATGGACGGAACTCGGGAGCTGGGCCGAAAAAGGGACTCGCGCTCGCTCGGGTCCAAAAGTCCGCACGGGCCCGATTGCAACCTCGGAACGGGGGCGGATGGGCTCCACGACCAACATTGGATGTGACAACGTTTATTGAATGTAAACAACGGCCGCACGACAAATAAAATGTCTTTCAAATTGAAATGATTCGGGGACTATTTCTCTCGTGGCGGCAAACGTTGACGACACGGGCTGGCGAAGGGGCTGTCGCTTTTCCACCCGGGATGCCGGAAGGCCTCTCGTGTCGTTCGCCTCCTGACGACGCACCGGCAGGAGCGACCTGGGGGGGTCGTCATCTGGCTCAAGAACACGACCGGGGATGACCACCCCCGGCCTCCGTGTTGGGCAACGACCACGCTACCACGAAGCCCCCCACGCCCCCAATTTGACTTTCAAGGCAAAACGCGACGCCGCCTTGCATCCTGTTCCTTGAGGCTTGTCGTGTCGTATCCATGGAAACGGTGTTGATGGAGATAAGGAGGATAGTACGCGCACACACAAACACCGGCAATGATTTCCTGCAGATCAAGCAGAAAGTTGCCATGGCAACAATGAGCGCAGCACGCGCGCTTTTCCCAATCGAAGGAACGGATCCGCATTGTGGCGGAGCTTCTTCCACCTCGTCATCATCTTCAGGGGCGTAGCCACGCCCCCCTCGGCGTACAAGGTGCGGTCCTGGATCTGGAGGCGCGGTCGGGTCGCGGTCGCGGGCACCGCGCCGGCCTCAATGCCGCGGCCGGTCGGCAAAGACGCCCGCCTCCCAGCGCAAAGCGCGTTGGCTTTTATGGCGAATCACTCGGGTTGATTCCACCACCTGCAAGCACATTTGGACAAGAGACCGCGACCGGGTCCTCCTCACACGAATCGCCGGAGCCCAGCCATCCTCGCGCTCTCGCGTTCGGGGGCGAGCCCGGATCGCGCGCCCCATCCGGAGACGGAGTGGCGGCCGCCCGCGCTGGAGCCAGGCCAAAAACCGTACGACGACGTCGCAACGATCGTTGTTGCGAATGATAGTAAAGCTCTCGGAAAGCCGTGAAGCTTGACATCGCGCGAGGCCATCAAAGCGCATCGGCTTCGGGAGTGAGTTCCTCGCTCGGCAAAATGGAAAAGAAGCGGGACCCGTTGGCGTCTGCGCTCGACAAACGGACGGAGGGCTCGGCCACCCGAGACGGACGTCCGGCGACCGTCGCGACGTCTTCGTGACGGAGGTGACGCAAACCTCCTTCGCGCAAAGGACGCGCCTGCAGAAATCGGGCCCGGATCCTCGCCCGCGTTTTGGAGCCAAGTGATGCCAAGCTGAGGGCGAGGCAGAGTCTGGAGGCGGAGTCGAGTTGCTGGGCGGGCCTTGTGTTGAATTGCGGGCGGCTTGAACGTTTGGACCCCCGTGCGCCAGACGCGCCCTCGCTTCGAAAGCGGCCTCTTTGGCTCGCTTCCGTCAAAGCGTTTCGAGCGGCCGAAGCCGGTGCAAAGACGGCAAACGTCGCGGGCTCCCGCGGTTAACCGAGCCTCTGACGCTTTGGGGAGCGAACGCGCAAAGCCGAGGGCGGCCGCCGGCCGCGATGGGCCCGCGGCTCCCGAGCCCCAGAGGACGAAATGCTTTTGCCGGCCTCTTCCGAAGAAGAAGAAGAAGAAGCTCGCGAGGTCAAGACGGGAGGCGCGCCGAGCCGACCGCTGGCCCGCTTCTGTTGGTGACCACCAGGTGGCGCCGCAGGGCTCCCCCTGCAGCTGCACACCTGTTGCTCGTCATCTCATGAGCGCTTTAAAAGGACTCCCGCCCGACCGCCCGCCCGCTCGTTGTGGGCTCTTTGTTCGTTTGGGTCGTGTTTCTGTTCTTGCGAGTTTTGCGCTTCCGCCGTGCTTTTTGTTTGTTCCTTTGGCTTCGTTTTGTTCTCCGGACTTGCTTTTGGATGGACTTTTCAGTCTTTTCTGAATCCAATTTGTCAAGTACACTCCGCTCCTCCCTCTCGCCCGCTTTTTGGGCTCCGCCAGCATCTCGCGACGTGACAACCGCGGGCCGCGTCGGGCGCCGCGCAAACATAACGTGAGCGTTTCGCCGTCTTCCCCGTTTGGGGCCGACCCACGAAACGCGGCCGTTGATGAAGTCCCGGACGGATCGCCGCTCACCTGGTTGTTGATGTCGTCGACGGACCGGATCCCGGCGTACTAAAAGACGA